TTAGATCAGCGACTTTAAGCTCAGTGGCCTTCAAGGACTTCGGTTCACCCCGATAGCTTTCTCAGAAAGCCCGGATCTTGCCCACTAGGGTCCCTACATGGATTGTCATCTGCAATAGAGAAGAGGATTTGAAGTCAACAGTGTCAAAACTAAATCCAAATCCAAATTAAAAGGCAAATGCCTAGAAATTACCAAAGTTGCTCTATATAGAGCGGTGTCAGCTAAGGTAGATAGAGGCATGGAGGAGGCCTCATGGATGTTAGAATCAGGGATGATAGATAAAATAACATTGACAACAAGATTTATATCCTTGATAAGTGATCTCCCTGTTGTGCCAATGGGCTGCTCATGAGACGTCTCTTTAGTAAGCTTCAAGAGGGAAATATCCCATAGGAAAGGAGTAATGGATTTTCAGGCTCCAGTTGTCTCTGCAGATAAAAGGGAAGTTGTAACTTTAGCAATTCTCTCCAACCCTATGGAGGTAGGAGAAGTCACCACAAGAGTCTTATGTGGGGGAAGAACTCCTTGAGGAGGGGAATCCATCACAGATATAGGAGTCTTTAGAGGAGTTATTGAGGATAAATGATTCGTTTGAGAAGGCGGGGATGAAGGCATTCTCACCCTCAGAGTTTTTGAAGAAGGACCCAGGTTACTTCTAGATCCGACCTCAACCTTTCGTTTTCCCTCAGCTTTATCCTTCCTAAACTGGGCCACCTTGGCTCTCACCGCCTTAGCATCTAGAGCCATGTAATTGGGACCTAAGAAAATAAAGAAAACAAGTTAGTAAATTGATAAGAAGAAAGAGAAAAATAAGGAAGAGAGCCTTACTAGCAAAATCCCCCTCACCAACGACAGATAGTGGAATACCTCAGGAGGACTAAGCCCATATTGATTGAGCACTGAAGGCATGAGAAGCCCTGAGTACTTCTCAGGGCGACAATCCTCAAGACCTAACATGACTATCCTATCATCTGCATCAAGCTCAAGGCGGATACTTGGAACAACAAAGAAAATAAAGTCAGCAAATGAAACACAGAAATTAAATAGTGGATCAGATTAGATCTCCTTGGCAATGACTTACCCAAATTATTAGGGCATGACCAAGCCCGAGGTACGGGAAGAGTATTAGTGACATCACTCAGGTTAAATTCCCATTCTTTGCTTGACACAAAGATGGAGAACTTCTTTCAATCTTTATGGGAGCTCGAGAGGTTGGTGATTATAGATTGGGTCTTCACTCGTTTTTACAATAGTCGGCAGGGGAGAACTAAACATTAAAGAATTTCATGAGCAAGGGAATCGTAGGGACATCGAGGTCATTCTTCTTAGAGTAGACTAGGAAACCCACCAAAATGCCCCAGAAATTAGGAGAAAGTTGGGCAGGAAAAACATTGAAATATTGAAGGACATATTTGAGAAAGAGGTGCATGCGGAATCTAAGGTCATTCTCGAAAGAAGCAGTCTTCTTGGGCAGCGCGGTATCATACATGATGCCCACATAGGGACACCAGTAGTGCATGCCCTTGGGGAAATTGAACCTAGTAGAAAGAACGCTCAGAAAGGGAAGGGTATCCTCATTGAAACCTACAAGATTTGAAGCCTAGGGTATGACCTCAGCATCCTTAGCACTTCTAGAGGTCCAGGCCCCACCTTTCTTAGATTTCTCTTTTTGAGACTTCTTATATCTTGGAATAGGGCTTGGTAGAGGCAAATGGACCTATAACACGTCCTCGTCATTGAGGGCATCGATGCCTAAAAAATTTTCTATCTTATCACTCACATCCGACAAGTCGTCTGCCTTATCAGAGTTGACGGATCGCCCTCTACGACGAGCTCAAACTTTGAACTTGGGAGATCTATTATCCATGGTAAGAAAGACAGATGAAGTAGTGGCTTTGGAAGAAGCAAACATAGAGATATAGGAGAAAGGAAGATTAAAGGAAATGTAAAGAAAAGGGATATTTGTAAAACAGTCTTCGAGAACCCTAGGGTCAAGACTCTAACGACCAAAGAGAAAAATCCTAGCAATAACATAAGGATCAAAGAAGAGGGGGGAGAAGACAAGGAGAGACCTTGACTCGTGAAATATCAACAACAAAAGGTCTAGAAATTGAATAACAACCTCGAATTCGAGGAATCCAGGGTGAGTAGAAGCCCTAGAGGGAGGAAAGAGAAAGCAAGGTAGGGGGCGTACCTAATCGAAGGGGAACACCAATTGATGACCCAAGGAAGATTCAACAGATGAGTAGAACTAGCTTCAAGAAAACTTTTGAATGAGTTTGAGCACTAACCAGTAAAACCCTAGACCACCAGAACATTGGAGAAGATGAAATCATGTAGAAGAGGAAAAGAGAGAAATCTGAAAGAAGAATGCAAAGGGATTTCGAAATGATTGAAAAAGACGGTTCTACTGGCAAGAGCATTTAAGATGGGCATACAAATGAAAATGTGGAGCTGGGGGTAATGAAAATGCACGAGAAACGAGGCAAAAGTGACTCCTTACACGCTTGCAACACCGTAAAAGTTAAGAAACGTCCCATCGTGCAAGTCCTGAGGGCAGACCAATCTAATCATGAGATAGGTCAATCGACAAACTGAGTTGACCACGCCCTCCAATGCTTTAGTCAACCCCAGCTTATATAACCTACCTGACTGGGAGGCAGCTGATGATACTCAAAATATGGCTAAGGTTGAACTTGGACGTTCAACTCGATTTGATTGAGTTCATATCACGCAGCTTGAGGCGAGCTACCAAGGCTGATCAGATCAGTTTTTCCAAGCAACAATGCCACCAAGGTAACAACAAGGATGACAACTGGAAATCATCAAAGCGTTTCACATAAAGCGCAACTGTCTCACAATCGGGTAAGAAAGTCGCAACCGCCAANTGGTAAGAAAGACAGATGAAGTAGTGGCTTTGGAAGAAGCAAACATAGAGATATAGGAGAAAGGAAGATTAAAGGAAATGTAAAGAAAAGGGATATTTGTAAAACAGTCTTCGAGAACCCTAGGGTCAAGACTCTAACGACCAAAGAGAAAAATCCTAGCAATAACATAAGGATCAAAGAAGAGGGGGGAGAAGACAAGGAGAGACCTTGACTCGTGAAATATCAACAACAAAAGGTCTAGAAATTGAATAACAACCTCGAATTCGAGGAATCCAGGGTGAGTAGAAGCCCTAGAGGGAGGAAAGAGAAAGCAAGGTAGGGGGCGTACCTAATCGAAGGGGAACACCAATTGATGACCCAAGGAAGATTCAACAGATGAGTAGAACTAGCTTCAAGAAAACTTTTGAATGAGTTTGAGCACTAACCAGTAAAACCCTAGACCACCAGAACATTGGAGAAGATGAAATCATGTAGAAGAGGAAAAGAGAGAAATCTGAAAGAAGAATGCAAAGGGATTTCGAAATGATTGAAAAAGACGGTTCTACTGGCAAGAGCATTTAAGATGGGCATACAAATGAAAATGTGGAGCTGGGGGTAATGAAAATGCACGAGAAACGAGGCAAAAGTGACTCCTTACACGCTTGCAACACCGTAAAAGTTAAGAAACGTCCCATCGTGCAAGTCCTGAGGGCAGACCAATCTAATCATGAGATAGGTCAATCGACAAACTGAGTTGACCACGCCCTCCAATGCTTTAGTCAACCCCAGCTTATATAACCTACCTGACTGGGAGGCAGCTGATGATACTCAAAATATGGCTAAGGTTGAACTTGGACGTTCAACTCGATTTGATTGAGTTCATATCACGCAGCTTGAGGCGAGCTACCAAGGCTGATCAGATCAGTTTTTCCAAGCAACAATGCCACCAAGGTAACAACAAGGATGACAACTGGAAATCATCAAAGCGTTTCACATAAAGCGCAACTGTCTCACAATCGGGTAAGAAAGTCGCAACCGCCAAGGCGCCATCCACAATAGTTGCATAACAAATGCAACCGTTATGAATGGGGGGGGGGCAAGGATCACATCAGGGATTAGACAAGACCCTGAAAGACTATAAATAAGAGGCATATCCCTCATAAAAAACACATAAGCGACTAGCCTAAGCAAATACTCTATGTAATATCCCTTTTTGTCAATAAAATCTTCCTCAATAGCAAGAAACTCATTTGAGAGTGGATTAGTCAAGGTCTAACCACTATAAACTCTCCTTGTTTATAATCCCCCATCACACTTGTTCAATTCTTAAGAGCTTAGGAGCTCAAACTGGGTCGTTCAGTGATTCTCTGACTCCTAAAGATCACAACTTTGCTAAATTGTGCAATACACACACCATCAGCTAGTATCCTTTTCGATAACCCTACTAGTGTGTCGAGCATGTCTATAGTCTGAATACATCAATTTGTATTTGCACATGTATGTGTGTGTGTGTGTTTGTGTGGGGGAAGGGAGGAGTTAAATCTAAATCCGAATCTGAATCTATTATATCATATTTAATAAATTTGAATTTGGATATACCATCACCTGGTCCGACTATAAATCTGATTCAAAGTGAAGGTTTATTTTTATATAAATATTAGATAAAATTAAGTGATTATTTCATATCCAATAATAATATTAAATCACTATCTATTCCAAAAGTTTAAGCTATTAAAGAGGCATAATATCATTATTTATACATTTCAATATGTTCCCTCAAGTTATGATCGTGCCGGCGAGATTTGAACGTTTGATGCCATCACTACAGGATCTGGGACCGTTACATCTAGCCGGATACAATTTCTAATTGGAAAATATGGTTATAAACACAAGAAAGTGAATTGCAATACAGTATAATACCCAAACGAAAACTTAAACAAGTAGATTTAAGCACACAACTACATAGACAAAAGCAAAACCAGAATCAAAAGCAAGCAAACTAAAACCAACCCTAATCTTTCTGCAGAACGCTAAGCAATTAAAACATTTAGCCCCCCCCAACCAAACAAACAAAAAAAAAAAAGGAAAAAGAAAACCATGAACTTCTCTGTGAAAAGTTCAATTCTTCTATTCTTACATGGCCCTCGCAGCAGCTGCTTGGAACCTTGGTTCCTTAGGGAGAAACCTCTGCTCAGCATAAACATTCATATAATCACCAAACACAAACTTGGGATAAGCTTGATCCACTTCATTGCTCACCTTCTCCACCAATTCTGTTGCAGGACTTATGGTTGCCTTCAATGATGGATTGTAGAATGAAGCGATCGATCTCCTATTCCCATCCGGGGTGGCAAGAACCTGGTGCCAAACACTCTTGTATCTCCCATTGCTCAACACCTCAATTTGATCCCCAGTGTTGATGACAATGGCGTTTCTTTGAGGCTGGACATCGATCCATTGCTCGTCTTTGAGGATTTGAAGGCCTTTCACTTCGTCATCTTGGAAGAGCAAAATGACTCCTCTGGCATCAGTGTGAGCTCGAAGACCATTGAGCTTCTCGGGGTGAGGGCAGGGTGGGTAGTGGCTGACCTTGGTGCCAAAAAAGGCGTCATCTTCTTCGCCATTGAAAGATTGCTTGATGTATCCTTTTGGTAAGCCCAAGTTTTCATCCATGGCTTCCATGAACTTCTCTGCCAGTTTTTTCAGCTCAGCTCTGTACTCTGCCATTGTTTCCCTATTGTTCATTTTATGCACAAGTCAGATGATAAAATCCATGTTTCAATTTCATGTTTTTCTTCAGCATTGTGAAGTGAAAAATTCGAGATTTGAGAATTAGATGGGAGCAGTAGTATGCGTTCATAACAACTTAAAAGAGAACTTGTTTGAGAAACCGAGCTTACTTGAATCCTGGAGTCTTGGATGGCCACTCATTATCGTCGGAGAGAAGGAAGACATCCTCCCAGTTCACGTTCTCCAGCTTGTCTCCGCTCTTCTTTTCGACCAATTCGTTCAACAACTTGACCTGAGTCGAGTTGTTGAAACCTTCTTCTCTTTCCAGCTTATAGCATTCGGAACAAACCTTCTTCACCCTTTCCAGGAGTTCATCTGGAATCCCATGGTTCACCAGCTGCAACACAAACATAAACGAAAACCCCTAAGATTTGTCTATACAATGTCTAGTAGTTACATAAACTGACACCAGCACCGGTCTTTGAAATTGTGGTACATAATTGTGTCGTTTTGGTGAAGTATGTGTAAAACGTTTGATAAGTGTATGTGGAGATTTAATTTTATAATGTAATCTAAAACCATGCAGGCCATGTGCAAAACATGTACAATATTGTACAATAAAGGTATTGGCCTGGTAGTTACAAATGGTATTAAGGGCTTTGACCGAGGCTGCGTAATCAGTGCATCCCAGTCCGGTGGGGGCGGTGGCTTGGGGTGGTGTCATCTCGAGGAAGCCCACATCGCCAAGGTTTGGATAGGTCCCACATCAGAGCGTGAGGTCCTAAATGGATCCATATCACCAAGGTTTGGACTTTCATTACATAACGCCTTTTAAAGTTATATTTGCTTAATTCAAAGCGGACAATAGTATATAATGAATGTTGTGTGTGGAGTGAGGTTTATCACTAATCGATCACAACATTGAAGGGGGGAATCAGTTGCAGAATTCCTTAGGATGATAAGTACCTGAAAGAATCCCCATTCTTCACACCCATCAGTTATCTGAGCCATAGTCTTTGCCCTTTCCTCTCCACTGAGCTTTGAGAAATCAATAACCGGAATCGCCATTGAAGTGAAAAACCGAAAGACGGAGAAAGAGAGAGAGAGATGTTTGCTCAGTCTTGCTGGAATGTGTTAGTGGTGGTGGTGAAGAGGTTGCCTTAGGCTATTTATAGGAGAGCTCGTCCAGCCATTTTAGATGTCAACGCTCCATAATTAAATGTGTAGTAGTCGTTGGGCCGAGGTTCAGGGCGGTGACACACTAACAAAGAGGTCAATGTCTCTTAAGACATTGCTTAACCAAAAATCAGAAAGCTACTCCTTCGGGTAACGAAATTCATTACCGGAAAATGCTATTTGAATCTAAAAATTTGACATAATGACGTAATTTTATTGGAACCATTAGATTAATACCAAGTTCTAATATTTGATGGAGCCAACAGTCAATCCAAAGGTTATAGTGAATCAGGTCCCAATAACATTGCTCATTCATTACCTATTGTTAATTGCATAAACACACCTGGGCTGCGGACATGTGGCGCCATAGGAGGATTAGACGTGACCAATCTTCTTTTCGTTAACAATAAAGTTGATTTCATAATTAGAATCCATAATATTTAGGTCACAATAAAATAATTTTACGATTACGTAAAAACCCTTCTTCTTATAGCCCAACCGCCCAAATGTGCAACGATTTATGTCATCCATCATATTTGAGTCATTGTGAGTGTATTTCTTAGCCTTATCTCTTAGACTCGATGTTGGAAATATAATATTGAATGCCCATAATTACCCACTAATTATGTGCTCGGAACCGATTCAAAAATCTTTTTAAAAAACAAAAATGAAATTATAGGGAATAAATATATAGTGAAAGGACATCATATTAGTATAAAAAAAATAAACTTTTGGTATTGGATCGTTATACATGCATCGAGTAAACTGGAACTCGAACTTAGGACTTCGACAGCAAACTTAAAATGCATATTCTCATGTTTGGTAGGGTTTTTTATTTTTACTATAGGATGTTCAGACTTGCATCGACTATTATCTCAAGTTCAATGGCTGGCTAAGGTGACTTGTATTTGGTTAGAGTACGTCCCTAAAAAGACAAAGAAGACTAGCCTTTAAAACTATGAAAAAGAATTGAATCTGAAATTTTTGAATTACTAATGGTCAGGTTCAATCACTAGACCATCCTTAAAGGTTGTGCTTGGCAGGTTTTAGTTGGTACCCTAACTGTATAATTCAACGAAGCAAATGGTTCTGATTAGCTGCACAAAACCGCGTCTATGCCATGCATCCATTTTCTTTCCCAGAAGTGTTCATTTATTTTTCTTATCTTTCAAATCTGTGCCCACTACAACCATTGATCATGTTGACTTCAATCTAGCCCTAACCTTTGACTTTTTAACAAACGACATGCTTTTGTATAACAAGAGATAACATCATTAGAGAATTTTTTTTTTTGGACTGATCGGTAGGCATAGTTTGAGGGTTAAGGAAGAAGAAGACCTTTATAAACAAAGCTATCATCCTAATTTAATACAAGGCCATTGTCAACACCATTATATTATTTGTGTAGAATAGATTAATGTATGGGAAAATACTATGTAACCCAAATTTATATCCCAAATGAAAGGAGACCATTAGATGAATGAGTCTCATCAACTTTTTAAATGAGATCCACTGCTCCAATGATCCCGCTTCATTTGAAATGTAAATTTGGATTATATAACATTGCTCTAATATATGTTGCTATCTGTAATTAAGCCTGCTTTGATGTATGTACATTTGGCATATCGTCAGCCTTTGATTTGATTCTTGTTGTTCGAGTATTAGTGTACAATTTCAGCTGCATGTACCAGGTAACATTGACCGTCTGATCAGCAAAATATGTTAAGAAATTGAATTAAACATTAAGGGTGATTGTAATACTAACTTGAGTGCACTAATAAGACATTTGAGAAGTAAGTTGAGCATGGTTACAGAACATATACATGATCTCCTTTTCTTTCACCTTATGTCGTTTGTCATTTGCAACGTTGCTTGGTTTAGATTAAACATTATTTAAACGATCATTTAGGGTTCGAGGCAATTGCTAGCTTAGGTTTTTAATTTCCAATTCATTTGGTTAGTTTACGAGAGATCACGAATTGGGCATGGTTATAGACAAGGTTTGAGCATCGAAGACCGATAGATGCACCAGAAAAGAAGAGTGGCATGGTCATTGTGGAACTAGTAGGGGGAAGGGAAAGACCGAAATTGACATGGATCTATAACCAAAAAGGATGAGTGTGTGCAAGACCCAACAAAGTAAAATGACAAAATAAAATTCATGTAGTAAACTCCAAATAATTAAAGAAAGAATTCAAATTATTTCGTTTGGGTTATTGCTTGATTTCAAATGTTGTACATCCAAGTGTAAATGGTCAAACTATAGTAATAACTAGGTGTTGTCCAAAGTCGATCCTTAGGGAATGGATAATTTGAATAAAGTATATGAAAGAATAGGTTTTGTAAAAAAAATAGAATTGATTAGAAAGCAATTATAAAAATAAATTTAGGGTAAACAATAATCTGAAAAATGATTTTCTAGTTTTGAGATCTGAATTTGCTCATATATATTGGAAAACTATATTTATGCAATATTAATTATTTTAGTTGATTTCTAACGTCAATGTAATTAATCAAAAAATAATTTGATAAATGAATAATTAATTTGATTGACTTGAAAATAAATTTTGAAGAACTAATTAAAATACTTGTAGGAAATTAAAAGCATTATTCATACCAAGAATTTGATTATATGGATGAATAATCAAACAATTATACAAAGTACTAAATTTTGCTCAGAACATTCAATTAATTGAATAAATAAAAATTATATAAATAAGTGCAAGATGGAATGACCTCGACCCATTTTGAAACATTGTCAATAGTAACCAAAATACCAAACGATGGGGGAAAATGTCTTATGAAGTCATTTTCCCAACAATCAAAAAATTCAATAACGAGGATAAGATTTAGATGCATCATATTTTGACGGAAAATACCCCCAACCATTGACATTTATCACAAGTAATATAGAAAGCACGAGTGTCTTGAAACATGGTGGGCTAGTAAAATATACATTGGAAATCTCTGGAGTGGCTTTCTTAGAGGAAAAGTGTCCCCCACAGGCTTCATTATGGCAAAAAAAAACAAAAACAAATCACATTATTTATCTCATTGTTGGATATGCAACGTCTGATAATTTTATCTTTACAATACTTAAACACGTAGGTATTATCCCAAAAAAAAATTACATACCTTACTTAAAAACTTCTTGTATCTAATGAGTTGAAGTGAGAAGGGAGCGTACTAGTGGCCAACTAATTGGCAATATCTGTATACCAAGGTAGCTCTGAAACTAAAAACAATTGTTCATCTGGCAAGGTCTCTTTTATTTGCATGTGGTCTTCATGAAATTCATAGGTAAGCCTTGAAAGATAATCCGCTACTACGTTTTCCATTCTTTTTTTTTATCTTTGATTGTCAAATCAAATTACTCGAGTAACGAAATCCATCTCAAGAGCCATGACTTGACATCTTTCTTGGTTAACAAATATTTCAAGGCTGCATGGTCAGTGAAAACAACAACTGAGGAACCAATTAAATAAGATCAAAAAATGTCTAAAGCAAAAACACAATAATTAACTCTTCTTCAGTAGTGGAATAATTTATCTGTGTATCATTTAGAGTTTTACTTGCATAATAAATTACATACGACTTTTTATCCTTCCTTTGATCTAAGACTGCTCCTATAGCGTAATCACTAGTATCACACATCAACTCAAAAGGTGAAGACTAGTTAGATGACTACATGATAGACGCAGAAATCAACAGGCTTTTAAGTTTTTCAAAAGCCCTTAGACACACGTCATTCCATTCAAAACGGGCATCCTGACTTAAGAGATGACACATAAGTCTAAATATTGAACTAAAATCTCTAACAAATCTCCTAATAAAAACCTATGTGACCTAGGAAAGATCTCACTCACATTCTTTATAGTCTTAGGAGAAGGAAAATTAACAATTAGATCCATTTTTGCTTTATTCACTTTAATTCCTTCTGATGAAATTATGTGGCCTAACACAATATCATGTGTAACCATAAAATGATATTTTTCCTAGCTTAATGCAAAATTTATTTCTTCATACCTTGCAAAAACTTTTTTCAAGATTGTTTAAGCATAAATCAAATGAATCACCGTATATAGAAAAATCATACATGAACACTTTCAAGTAACGCTCTACCATGTCACTAAATAAGCTCAACTAACATCTTTGAAATGTAATAGACGCATCACACAAAACCAAACGACATTCTCTTATATAAAACTGAACCAAATGGACATTTGAATGTCATTTTTTCTTCGTCATATAGTGCTATTTCTATCTAGCTGTACCTAGAGTACCTATCTAAAACAATAGTAAAAGACATGACTATTTATCCTTTCTAAAACTTGATCAAGAAAGGGTAATGGCAAGTGGACATTCCTAGTGACTAAATTGGGTTTACGGTTGTCTATACACATCCACCAATTCATAACAACCTGTGTTGGTACTAAATCATTATCATTGTTCTAGATTATTGTGACTCCTGATTTTTTGGGTACTACTTGAGTTGGACTGATCCACTTGCTATCAGACATGGGGAAGATAATTCCCGCATCTAATAATTTAAAAACCTCATCCCTCATAACCTTCTTCATCTTAGGATTCAACCTATGGTGAATTTGAGGAATAGACTTGACATATTCCACTAGGTAAATACAGTGGTTTGATAACACGTTAAGACCTCTAATAGACTGGACTTCAAATGCTCTAACAACAGAGAATAGATCATCACTGGATAAGTCTCACCCTCTCCAATAAAATCACACTTAAGGTTCAATAGGAGTTTTAACTCTGGTTTAGGTTTAGTGGCACTAGATGAAAACAGGCTTAGTGTCACTAGTTGATAGCTCCTCAAACTTTGGCACTCATTACCCAACAAAATTAACAGCCATATCATCCAACTCCCT